AATGGCTCTCTTCAGACATGGCTTCTTCCCAGTTTTCACCCACATAAGGGTGTTGTGGGAAGCGGAGGTTACAGGTATATAGATGCCACCATTTGTAGTGCCTGTCATTCAAAGGGACATCCAGGGTTAGAGGTGAGCCCTCCCTAATAGGACTAGCTTGTCTTTTGTTTTGTTTTGAGACAGGGTTTCTCTGTGTCACTTTGGTGCCTTTCCTGGAACTAGCTCTTGTAGACCAGGCTGGCCTCCAACTCACAGAGATCTGCCTGCCTCTACCTCCTGAGTGCTGGGATTAAAGGCGTGTGCCACCACCGCCTGACCAGGACTATCTTATTTTAAGACACCTGCAATAGTCCCAGGAAGACGCATCTTCCACACAGGGTCACATTCTGAGGTCCCAGGTGGACATACATTTTGGGGGCCACTAATGAGCCTCCTTCAGAGACTCAGAATGTGGTGAACTCTCCCTGTGTCAATGATCAATGAAACCTTTGAGAAGTAGAGGCTGGGGACAGTCCTCACCTGAAGACCCCACCCTTAGGAGTCCTAGCCTAGCAGGGCAGGAAGACCCAGTGAGCCCACCCAGCCTGGGTCAGGAGACCGTGGAGAAAAGACCAATGTGGTGACCCAAAGGCTTTCGGGAGTCCATATGGCCAGGCAGGGACCTTAAGCTTCTGTGTCTGCACCACATCCTCCATCCCCCAAACATCCCATGTAGGTGGCACTGGAACCCCACTGGGCAGACAAGGAAGCAGGCTTATTTACTAAGTAAGTCTTGACTTACCCAATGGTAAGGGTGGACACTGAGCCCCAGACAGAGCCCCCCCACCACAGCTAGCACTCCGGCTCAGGTTTAGGGAGTCCTGACTTGTTCAAGGGTGAGGGTGGACACTGACCTCCAGATAGAGCCCTACCACCACAGCTACCCATGAGCCCATGAGAACAGGAGGCTTGGGACCTGCTGCCTCTCCCTCTGTGGTGGACAGAAAACCTTCCAGGAGGTGGAGTTGGCAAGTGTCGCCACGAATACGGATGGCAGAGACATGTGGATAAACACAGGAAAAGAAACACTTGTCAAGCCGGGCGATGGTGGCGCACGCCTTTAATCCCAGCACTCGGGAGGCAGAGGCAGGCGGATCTCTGTGAGTTCGAGACCAGCCTGGTCTACAGAGCTAGTTCCAGGCTCCAAAGCCACAGAGAAACCCTGTCTCGAAAAAAAAACAAAAAAACAAAAACAAACAAACAAAGAAACACTTGTCAAAAGAGAAACAGGAGCTGGGAACTGCCCCAGGGCTAGCCTGCAGTCCTCCTCCAGAGGTTGAGCCGGGATCCCTGGGTCTTTTTATGGGACATTTGCACGGTATGCATAGGCGTGTGTGCAAGCTCTATTGACCTTAGCCAGCAGCAGGAAGGCTCCCAAACCTGCAGGCCAATAGCCTCTCAGGTGTCAATCTTCAGACCTTTCCTCGGCTAGCCTAGTCCCTGTTCACCTACCTCAGCCGTGAGGACCCCACAGACACACCAGATCTTAGACCTGGAAAATCCTTCCGGTCTTCGTTTATCTTCCTCCCCCCCCCCTCCCCCGGCTGAGACTCTGATAGCTCCCTAACCCGGCCCAGCCCAGCAGACGCAAGGATTCTCAACATGGGAGCAGGAGCCTGTCCCAACAGTAGGGGCTGGCAAAACCAAGCAGTTTGTGCGTGCTGTCTCAGGGGCTATTGGGTCTGGGAAGAGGAGCCAGTCGCTGACAGTGCCAGACCAGAAGGGGCCTGAAACACTCTGTGGTGGGGAAGGACTTAGATCTGTGCCACGATGGGATGTTTCTATTGGACTGCTGATCAGAAGGTCTCAGGTTCAGTTCTCGGCTGGCTCACCAACATTCTTACAGGAGTTAACGGGGCCAAAGCCTGGACCGGGCAGCCCTAATAAGTCAGATTTGGCCACCTTTTCTCAGCAGTCAATTTTAAAACATAGTGAAAAGCAGAAAAAGGGAAATTTATTCAATGTGGTCACACTGGGAAGAACAAAGAAATTCAGTGACACTCCCCCCTCCACCCCACCCCAAGTTCATCTTCTGGGTCCTGACGTGAGGTTTAGATCAAAGTAGGAGGCGAGAGCTGCGCAGGGCTAAGCAGTCCTGGTCAGAGTGTAGTCCCACCAGATCTTTTCTTCCTCTTCCTCCTTCTTCCTCTTTTTTGTTTGTTTGTTTGTTTTTGCTTTTATTTTGCTCTGTTTTGGAGATGATGGGGTTTCTCTACCTAGTCCCGGCTGTCCTGGAACTAGTTCAGTAGACCAGGCTGGCCTCAAACTCAGTGGTCTGCCTGCCTCTGCCTCCCAGAGCTGGAATGAAAGGTGTGTACCACCACATCCAGCTAAACTGGCCTGTCCTTTGGAATCCTGTGTTTCCTGCAGGGTGGTCTGACAAGTCAGAACTGTGTGATTAGGCTTTCTGCTCTCAGGAAGAGCAGCCTTTTCCTTCTCCCTGCATGGGATTCCTGGGCAATTCCACTTTCTTGAGCTTTTTGCTTCAACCATTTGAAAGTCAAAGAATAGCCTTGTTCCTGCCGGGCTGGCTCCATCTCAACCTAAACCCCCACAGGAAACCCTGCTGCTGTGGACCCCACCTCAAGCCACTCTGGCCACATCAGTCTGGATTTCACCTTTTGGTTTTCTGCTCACCTCAGCTGTCCTAGACAGTCACCCTCAGGCCTCAGGAGCTAGTCACAGGGAAAGCCCTGGTCACCCACAGCCCTTCTTCCTCCCTATGAGCAGAGCTCTGAGTCCAAAAGCGGTAAGGAACGAAAAAAAAATATCGATGGGTTGTGATGGGGGCATGCCTTAATCCCAGCATTCAGAAAGCAGAGGCAGGAGGATCTCTGTGAGTTCAGCCTGGTCTACAAAGTGAGTTCCAGGACAACTAGGACTCTTACAGAGAAACCCTGTCTTAAAAGAAAAAAAAAAAAAAAACAGTTAAAAAAGAGAGAAAGAAAAAAAGGCCATGACAGCTCCTAGGTGTGGTGGAGAACGTTTACTGTAGATAAAAGCCAGAGCACAGCCAGAGGCAGGAACAACTGGGAGAGTCCTGAGTGACGTGACCAGGCTGAGCTGGGCCATGTGAAGAGATGGGGAGTGAGGGGGAAGCAGGTGCAGCAGCCAGGAGGCCTAAGGTACAAAAGGGACGGTCAACAAAATGTCAGGGTACAGGCAGGTGTGCCCAGCCATACCCTGTAACAGGTTGGGACTGAGGGATGCTGGGAGAACCTGGCAGCCAGACTAACGGGTAAGAAGGTGCCTATGTGTTCCCAGACAGGCAAAGGCAAAAGCCTGGTGGGGAAGGCTGACCGAGAGTGGATTCGGATGATACTGATGTACGACAGGCTAGAGCGGGGAGCAGCAAGAGCAGAGGAGAGTCTTAATGTCTTCCTAGGTGCCAACACCCCCTACCTACCACAGTCCAACTTACAACCTTCCACATGACCACAGTACTTTCATGGGAATCCTGCAGAAGCCATCCACACCTCGACCGTGTCTTGTCTCTTCCATGCGCTGGTGCTACATGGCGAGACCCTCTTTCTTGACGCTGGAGGGAGACCCCCGTTCAGATCCCAGCCAAGAGACCAAGAGGGTGAACCATCTAGACACTACATGGGGTAACATCTGCAGCACCCAGGGTGGCTGTATTGTCCCCTTCGCCTCTTATTGGCATTGTCACACTTTTATAAGTGGTGAAAGCCAGCTCAAGAGGTCACACAATATACCTAAGGTCACGATGTTGGGAGGCGGTGCTTCTGAAGCCATACTCCACTCTCCCCATTTGAGCTGAAATGCTCAGAGCAAACCAAGAGCAAGGCCGAGGAGGACCTTGGGCTGGACCAAACTGTGAATGTCAAGATCAGAACAGCATAGAATACTTGTTTTAGAAGTAAATAATCTTGTATTTCACACTACATACACACTCAGAATATAAGACTGGAGGAGACAGGTTTCAGACTCAGTCCCATTCTGAGATTCCTGGAGGCAGGATTGCCATTTCAGACTGAGGTAGAGATAAGAGCCAGTGGCTTAGCTGCATTGCTTTTCTGGTCTTCAGGTTGAACCCCAATTATCTGTCTCTGGGTTTTTATTAATTGTGCTACATTTGAAGCCATTTAGGTCATCTTGATCTCAAAACACACACAGACAGACACACACACACGCCTCTGAACGGTTCAAGTTCCCATTTGCTCTGTTTTGTTCTATAAATCTGGCATTAAAAAAAAAAGTTTCTTACAAGTACAGGCATTTGGCCTGCATGTACATCTGTGTCCCACGTGCATGCCTGATGCCTGCAAAGGCCAGAGGTCATCGGGTTTCCTAGAACTGACGTTTCAGAAAGTTATGACACCATGTGGGTGCTGGGAATTGAACCTGGGACCTCTGGGAGAACAGCCTATACTAACTGCTGAGCCATTTCCCCAGCTTGAAACTGGAACTTAAGAAAAAAAAATTATGTGTGTGTGCTCACGTGTGCAAAAGTATCTACAAGGCCAGAGAGGGGTGTGGGATCCCCTGCAGCTGGAGTCACAGGCACCGGTGTGCCCCCAATGCCAGGCCTTTGACGGAGCAGTGTGTTAGTGACTGTCCCACTGCCACAGTAAAACACCACGACCAAGGCAACGTACAGAGGAAGGGGTTATTTGGGTTTATTTGGGACTTATGGTTCCAGAAGGTTAGAGTCCATAGTGATGCAGATAGTCCAGCAACATGGCAGCTGGAGCTAGAAGCTGAGAGCTGAAGACTCGTATCTAGAACCATGAACAAGACACATGGGTAACACACTCAGAACAGTGACTCTTTAAACTCTCGAAGCCCACTTCTAGTGAGATACTTCCTCCAACAGAGCCACACCCCCCAAGCCTATCGAAACCCAACCACTCATACAGAGCAAACATTCACATGCTAGAGAATCATCTCACTCAAACACAAATACTATGTGCTTTTAAGTGGGAGCCAACACTCAGTGCCAAAGCTGAAAATTTTTATTTTAAAGATTTATTCTGTATACAGTGTTCTGCCTGCACATATGCCTGAGTGCCAGAAGAGGGCACCAGATCTTATTATAGATGGTTGTGAGCCACCACGTGGTTGTTGGGAATTGAACTCAGGACCTATTGACCTCTGAGCTAGCTCTCCAGCCCACAAGGCTGAAATGGAATAGTATGCAACCCAAAGCACACAAGGGATGGGAGAAACAGGATCCTACTCCCTAACACCTCCCAGCTCTGTTCTGATCTGCTGCTTGATAAACATCAGCTTCTCAATTTATCCTTCCTAGGGTTCTGAGCCACCCCGTTTCTAGAACCGGGCCCAGAAAAGGGCATGGAGATGCCAGGGACCTCAAGAGAACCCTTCTGTTGAGATCAAGGACAGAGCTCACTTATTCGATATGAGACACATTTTTAGTGAGTCTGTGTATGTGTGTGTGAATGCAGGTGCACACATGCCATGGTGTGCATAAAAAAGTCAGAAGACCACACTGGGTGTTGATCTATACCTTCCATCGTGAGGTAGAGAGTTTCTTTGTTGTTTTTTCAATGTGTAAGCCAGGCTAGGAATTCCTCTGTCTTCACCTCTCATCCCCCCGCCATAGGATTACAGACACTCAGTACATGTCTGGCTTTTACATGGGTCCTGGGGATTTGAACTCAGGTCCTCAAACTTATATAACAAGATTCTTACCCACTGAGCCATCTCCCCAGGCCTGAGGTACTGTAACACTGACCTTGGTTTTAGCCTGCCTTGGGGAACCACCCCATTTGTCTGGTAGACGGCCTCTATCTAGATCTGAGAGCTACAGAAAAAGCTAGAAGCTCAAGTAGGGCACAGTGGATATGACTGTAATCCTAATACTCAGGAGGTGGAGGCAGGAGGATTGGAGCAGTTGAAGGTCATCCTTGGATTGTGAGTTCCAGGCCAGCCTCACATAGAGTTCCATGTGAGACTCTATGGCAAAAAGTATACAAAAAAGAAGCCACACTCCAAGTAATGGGTGCTCACTGGGTGCTCGCCTCCAGGTAGCCAGTGTCTCCCTTAGGCAAAATGAAGCCAGTTGTGACCAGGACACCTGGACATCAAGGGGACCAGCAGGAAAAGCAAGCTATGTGGGGATGGGAAGTATAGGGCCCTGAGTTTTATTTGCATACTACTGACAGAGTCTCCGCCCCCTGGATGGGCCAGCGCCAGGCCTGGACCCTCTCATCTCAACAGCACAGCCACTTCTGTCTTGACAGGTTTCAGCCTCATTGTAGGGGCGTCCATCCATCTCTCAGGGGAGGTTGACGACACAGGTAGAAAGAACACTGTTCCCTTCTGAGTGGTCAGTCCGCGGGGCTTCTAGTGGGCGGGACGGAGCTGGGAAACCTGAGGCTCTGACCAGATTGGTGGTGGGACCTGTGCTGGCAAGGCCTGGAAGGTGAACGGGGAGGTGTTAGCAGGGGTCACCCGGGGATAGGTCGGGCCCAGCATTAGCCTCAATTCCTCCGGCAACTCAGACAGGTGGGAAGGAGTGCCAAAGTTGGAGAGGCGAAGTTTTCAGGGCCTGAGCCCCCATCGTGATAGGATCTGTCCTACCTGGACCCCTCTCACCCCAGGTCACCCTAGACCCTACCAGGCGGGATGGGCTGGTGGCTGACAGATGTCGGCGCTGCGCTCCACAGGAGACAGAGGACCAGAGGTCTAGACTCTTGGGGACACAACTTTTCTCAGGCTTTGGAGGGAAGATATCCCAGCCCAGCAGACAGTGCTGTGGAGAGAAAAGGTTAGACGCATCTGCCACCACAAGCAAGAGAAAGACCCGTGAGGAGCCACAAGCCTCTCCCTGGGGACCCATTGGTTACTAGTCCCTGTTGACCTGGCCACTGGCCACCCCAACCTTCCCCAAGATGGACGAGAGGATGTGGGTATCAATGGAGTCCTTTCCACACTGAACTTGGCCCTGAACATCTAAACTGCATGACTTCACTAAACCATCTTCATGACCCCAACATCAAAGATGCTCCCTTTCTACCAGTTTGTAGGGGAGCCGAAGGGTCTTTCCCCTCTTCTCTTCTCCCAATTACAGCTACCCTGTCCTCCACCAGTGTGAGCAGGACGCCCTTTGACTTCCATCCTGACAAGGAAATGAGACGCATGATAGAAACATAAAGGTCTGGGATCAAACCCATCTCTCCAGCCAGCTCCACTCTGCCTCTGTGGCCTGCGTGGGGGTGGGGTAAGACAGTGTCTGCATGGCTCTGGGAAACAGCTCTCCTAAGAGCCATGCATATGGCACCCAAGAGCTCAGTAAATAGTGCCCATGTAGACACCCATCTTAGACATGTGGGGGACAGGTGACACACCAGCCCAGGTGAAGCCAGAGGCCTGCTAGCATGCAAGAGCCTTGGAGCAAGCTCTCTTCAGGGCTAGTTCAGGATCCTGGCCACATAGGCCTGCCTCTAGCATCTTCGGGCAGGCGGCTTACCCGAGGCAGAGCCAGGGTGTCAGAGGCATCAAAGCTTTTCCGTCTATGAATTCGATAGCGGTGTGGCGGCTCCAGGATGGACAAGGGGATGCTCACCCTGTGCAAGAGGCACAGCATCAAGATCAGCAGAGGCTACGTTCGGTACCCAACTCTAGCTGCAACTGTCCAGTGGGACCTCCAGGGAATTCCAACGCTCTCAACACTCACCTAACCTGCGCAGGCTCCGCCAGAGTCTCAGGTCCCTGTTGGTCCCGGGGTATCCCACATAGGCGGCAAGGGGTACCTGGGTCCACTGGCACAGGAAACAGGCGCCGGTTGACACGGTAACAGTACACACCTGTGAGACCCATGATAAACCACAGTTGCCCCTAAGCCTGGCAATTTGCTGCCCGGGGCCTCTGGCTGTCCCTCAACACACAAACCATACCATCCATTGAGGAATCACTCTGGGCCACTTTTTCCCCAGCCCCTTTCCTCCCAAAGTCTTGGGTCCACACTCAGGAGCCCCAAGAGCTGTACCCTGCTATCTCTGAAAGCTGTCAGAGAGAGGTGGTTACAAAGGGCAGGACCTAAGCCAGCCAGGCCCCAGCCAGAATGGGTCCCACACTGCTCAGACACCAGGCACTTCCCAAGTCACCAGCTCAGAGTGCCCTGGTGGAAGTGTTCACTCACACTGGTGGCTCTCTTCCACACCACTGCTCTCCTGCAGGCCTGGGAACACAGCTCTGGGGGGAGGGGGCGAGAGAAGATGAGCAGGGTGAGTGACAGAGTCCCCGAACCACCCTCCACCCTCCTTGTACACGCCCGCTTACTCAGGGGAGTCGCAGACACAATCCTCTCTGTTGGCTTCTCGGAACTTCTGCAGCATGGAGAAGAAGGCCTCGGGTTCGCTGGTGATGGGAGAACCAGTGTCCAGGGACCCTGGGGTGGACAAAGCACCGGTGAGGGAGGCAGGGCTAGTGGGCTGGGGCCCCACCTCGCCCCAGGACTCTCCACTCACTTGAGGGCCAGCTCTGCTTGAGCACCTGTCTGCCCTGATATAGTCAGTCAACCACAGACAACTCTCTCCCAGAGCCCTTAACAGAGGCCACATACCCATTTATTCCAGAGACAGGAACTGTGGAGCCCTGGCTGGCCTGGAACTTCATATATAGACCAGGTTGGCCTTGAACTCACAGAGACTGGACTGCCTCCGCCTCTTAAGTGTTGGAATTAAAAATATACTGTATACTGTTACTTCAGAGACAAGATCTCACGTAGCCCAGGCTGGCCTCCAACTCAACACTTTTGCCTCCACCACCCAGTACAGAGATTATAGGCATATACCTGGCTTATATTCTTTTTTCTTTTTTAAGATTTATTTATTATGTATACAATGTTCTGCCTGCATGTGTGTCTGCACAACAGAGGAAGGCACCAGATCGCATTACAGATGGTTGTGAGCCACCATGTGGTTGCTGGGAACTGGACTCAGGACCTCTGGAAGAGCAGCCCGTGCTCTTAACCTCTGAGCCATCTCTCCAGCCCCTGCTTACATTCTTTCTAGCCGGGAAGAGCAGGAAGCCAGGCAAGGTTCCCACTCTGAGGAGGCGATATTCTAAAGGGACAAGGAACTCGGAGATGTGATACTGAATGGTGCTGGGAATCTGGAGGCCAGGGCCAGGGGGCTGAGCGCTACAGGGCAGGAGGCTGCAGGCAAGGTCTGAGAAAGTGACCAGAGCAAAGACCAAGGAAGTCACATTGGCCAATCAAAAGAATAGCCCAGTCGGTGAAGAACGCAGGTGCTTGGCATGCGTGAGGAACTCAGGACAATGGAGGGTGAGGGTGGAGGGGTGAAGCCTGGAGTCTGAGACATTCGGGGACAAGGACCATCAAAATCAAGTCAGCCATGTTTTTACAGGACACATCCTTGAGGTGAGAGAAAGCAGGGGCAGTTAAAAGGAGGCCGTGGACTCTAGAAATGTACTAAGGAAGAGAATGTTTTAATGCTCAGGACATAAAACATGTAAGGGAGGCAGGTCGAGGCTGAGCCCGAGGTCACAGTCTGACTCCTTAAGTTCACCAAGCTGCCACTTACAGAGATGGGAGGGAGAGCCGCTGCAGGACGGAGGAGGTGGAAACCAGGACCTCGGTTGCAGAAGTCAGATTACTTTTAAAACTACATTTTATCTTTATTTATTTGTGTGTCTAAAAAAATTCTTTTAGTGGGGTGTGGTGGCATACACCTTTAAACTTCGGCCTAGGGAGGCAGAGACAGGATCTCTGTGAGTTCAAGGACAACCTGTTCTATATAGGTAGTTAGTTCCAGGACTACCAGGGCTACATAGAGACCCTATATCCAAAAACATATGTGTGTGTGTGTGTGTGTGTGTGCACGTAAGGTAGGGCTGGAGAGGTGGTTCAGTGGTGAAGAGCGCTGGTTGTACCAGGCGGTGGTGGCTCATTTCTTTAATTAATCCCAGCACTCGGGAGGCAGAGGCAGGTGGACCTCACAACCATCTATAATTCCAGTTCCTGGCTCTGATGTCCGCTCCTGGTCTCTACAGGTACCAGACATACACATGATGTACATACATACATACAGGCAAGCATACACACACACACACACACACACACATACACACACAAACATTAATAGTTAAAATTAAAAACAAAAGGCTAAAGATTTCTGCGGCATGCTTTTTAGCGCTCAGTTGACAGCAATGAGGCGGAAGCGGCTGGAGGGAGGACAGGAGCCCGGAGGTGCCAGGACAGGAGCAATAGCGTGAAGATGTTCCCACTAGGGTTGGGCAGGGGCCTGGCCCCTACAATCACTCATTCATTCAGCTTCATGGGTATCCGGGCTATGATTAGCCCAACCCCGCCCCTCACCTGCAATCCAATCATAGCCCAGGTATGGCCGGAAGCGCCACCTGCTCTCAGGCATCGCAGACTCTTGGGAGAAGGTCACTTTGGGCTGAAGAAGTAGACAAGGAGGGCACGGGCTGGATCTGCAGGCCTGGCCCAGAGGCGGCCCCGTTTCAGGGGAACAATACACTGGGTATTGCCTTAGACTCCAGGTTGGCGCCAACCTCAGCTGGGGAGCTCAGAAATGGGAAGGTAAGTTTGGTCCCACTTTGGGTGTGGCTTTGAACAAGCCTGGGCTCCAAGCCTCAGTCCTCCCACCTGACCAATAGGGTTGCCTCCTTCTTCCAAAAGGGCAAAGATGTACTTAGCAATAACTGGACACACCTTACTGGATCCCCTAGAGGCCTCACCCCCTACTGGGGAGGCTTGTCCAGGAACAATCTGTCAGATAGGAAGGGAAACGGAGGCCCAAAAGCTCCCCAGGATTTCCAGGCGCTCCTGAGTTACCTTAGATGGCCTGCTTGGTCGTGACAGCACGGACTTTGGAAGCTGTGTCTCGTGAGGTCCCAGACCTTTTGGTGGCCTCTTCAGACCTTCAGTGGCTAGCAAGGGTACTGTGGGGGGCTGCCGTTCATCCTGGGGCTCCCGGTGTTGGCACATGGCATATGGTAAAGAGTCCACCCGGTAGCTGTCCTTGCCACAGAAGGACCTATCAGATGTGGCTCCTCGGTGACTGTCTAGTGGGTCCCACTCCTGTCTTTTGTCCTGTGAGCTCGGGGCCACCGAGGAGCTGGAGGAACTCTCTTGGGACCGTGGCATCTCTAAGTTGCCGCTGCTGCTATAGTCCAGGTTTGACTGCAAGAAACAGGTCAGGTTACTCAAGCAGCAGTCTGGCCAGTGCCCAGCTACTCAGGTTCACTCTGGACTCATAGGTCTTCATTCGGCCGTGGCCTCTGGGTGTCCCAGCCCAGTCCCTTCCTCCCATGGCCTCAGTTTTGCAACGTCGGTGAAATGGGTGCATTGGATAAGATAGACCCTGGAAGCGTGGACACAGTCACAGGGGGTAGGCAGTCTTTTCCTCACCGCCTGGGCATTACCAAGGGAGACACCCACCTCTGACGCTGCTCTGGCCACTGACCGACACATGGCATCGTGCCCAGCCCACAGCTGCTTCAGCAGCCCCAGGCTGAGCAGCCGAAGCTGAATGGGATCTTTAGTCTCTGCCATCTGGGGCACGGGTCTCAGCTTTTCACAGCTTGTCACTAGCTCTGGGCTGGAAGCTACTCACAGGAGATGCTCAGGCTACGTTCTACCTGAAGTCAAAGGATCAATGACAAAAGATGAGGGAGGGAACCTGTCACAGAGGCCTGAATTCAAATCATCACCAGGACTCTCCTGTACTCTGCAGCCTCACCCTGGTTACTTAACCTCTCTGTGCCTCTTGTCCTAACCTGATAAACATGGCAGCATAGAGTTAACCTGCCATGACGTCACTAGGGCGACACAGGACAGTGCATGTTAAATGCTCAGTACAGCACTCAATGAATGTCCATCAGTACTAAGCCAGCCAGGATGTCTGGCAGGTCTCCATCTTAATTCCCATCTGTTTTGTGTGCCAGCTGTGCTATTTCTCCCCCCCCCCAAAGACCACACCTCAGAGTGCTGTGGAAGGCTGTTTTTGAACGATTATGTACAACAGGAAAATGCTCGCCTGCTAAGAGACTAAAACTCCCATTGGGCCTTCCTTAGTTATCTGACCCCTGGGCCTGTGAGATGGCTCAGTGGGGAAGGGTCTTATGGCCAAGCCTGACAACCTGGGTTCAGTTTTCAGGGTCTACACGGTGGAAGGAGAGAGCTGACTCCATGAATTGGCTTCTTCCCTCCATACATGTGTCATGGCATGCGCCTGCTCATATAGACAAAAAAATGTTTTTAAAATTAATCTCATTCCTAGCCGGGAGGTGGTGGCGCATGCCTTTAATCAACCCCAGCACTCGGGAGGCAGAGGCAGGCGGATCTCTGTGAGTTCGAGACCAGCCTGGTCTACAAGAGCTAGTTCCAGGACAGGCTCCAAAGCTACCGAGAAACCCTGTCTCGAAAAACAAAAACAAACAAACAAAAAATTAATCTCATTCCTTTGTCATACAGAAAGAGACTGGCACAGATTGCTAATTCAAAGCCTAAGAACTTATGTTATCTGGGGCTGGCATTGAGCCCAGGACCTGCAGCAGTAAGCTTGTTCTCTGACACAAAGCGGCCCCCAGCCACTTTTTGATTTTTTGCTCCTGTACCCCAAGGTCACATAGCTAGTGTCAAAGCAGGGTTTGAACTAACCTGTATGTTCCTGGTTGTTGCATAGCAGCTACTACCCCTGACATCCAAGCATCTCCCTCTTGTTGGGAGGTGAGAGTCTCCTCAGAAAGTTGCAAGATTTTAAGGTTGCTTTAAACAATGGCTAGGGACAGAAATCTGGACTGGAGTCACCTGCAAGCTGTACAGGGGTGAATCAGAACCCACACTAGGTGTGCGTGTCAGCGGTGCAGCTGCCTGCCTTTGGGTCACATAAGTTCCTGAAGTGACCCCTATACACTCATTGGTTCACCCACGAGCGAACCAGCTACACCTGGATGGAATCATTTCTTTGCTCTCTTGGCAGTACTCTGGAGCAAACAGACCTTTGTAGACATATGACTCCCGACTAAGGGTCTGCACTTAGGGAAGCGTGGCCCTGACAGGGCTGGTAGGTTCCTAGAAACCTCCCTCTTCTCCAGGCAACTTTGGTCCTTCAGAGGTCCAGCTCAGGAGCACCTCCTTTGCTTCTGGAAGGGGTGTCTGCAGTGTAAGGAAGGGCTTCCCACTTTTAGAACCACAAGTCCAGACTCCACCACCAGCACCGGAGTTTTTACTCCGGGTTGGGTCAGAACCCCTGCTCTGTCCCAGCCCTGCCGCCCCACACGCTCCTGGGTCTCCTCGGGTCTCCATGCAGTCTGCAGTGGGGAGCAGAACAGACCTCAGCCTGTCACTCCCGCGCACCCAGGCGGGGTACGCATCGGACCTGGAAAAGGCGCTTGCCCCTTCTCTACCTGGTCTGGCCGGGTGCAGGCACATCTCTCTGATCCCAAGATCAGAGCCGCTTAGGATAAAAGGACTCGGACGCCCTCCGCGGGGAAGCCGAGGTCCCCAGCAGCCCGGGGCTCCGCCTCCTCTGGGTGGAGCCTCGGATGGCTGTCCTAATTGGGTAAAACTGGAGCGGGGCCTCCGCCAGCTGTCCTGATTGGCCAATTGGCGGGGCAGGACGTCAGACAAACGTTAGTTCGCATCCGGAAGCGGCGGTTTCAATTTGGGGGTGGGGCTAAAGGCCCCTCATTGCTGATTTGTTGACTGAAAATGTCAAGTCTGCCAACTTGAATTTTACTGAATGGAAATTACCGGAACTACAGGTTCCGATTGGTCAGTGTAGCCCAGCTACGTAATTTCCGGATGATTGTGGAGCTGTAAAAGGCTGCGGATGGGCGGGACAAGTGGCGAGGGCAACGCATTCCATCTTTCAAGCTTTTTTGTTTTCTTAAGAGAAAGTCTTTTGAAGCCTAGGCTTGCTTCGGACTAAGGGCTCCTCTCGGTTGGTGGGGGAGGGTGGATTTACAGGTGTGCCCTGTTAGGCCTGCTTTCTTCAACACTTCAAGTCTCTGTGAGGTGCCTACTTTGTGTCTGACGCCCTGGAAGGCAAAGATTTAAGAGTGGGGATAGAGGGAGAGAAGTCACTGACAAAATTACCATATAGATACCAAAAATCTGGTCTGGTAAAATCTAAACCAAAATTAGCCGGGCATGGTGGTGCACTCCTTTAATCCCGGAACTCGGGAGGCAGAGGCAGGCGGATCTCTGAGTTTGAGGTGAGGTAAGTTCCAGGACAGCCAGGGATACCCAGAGAAACCCTATCTCAAGACAAAATTTAATGTAGCTCAGATTGGCCTTGAACTTGCTATGTCATGAGGATGGCCTTAGACTGACTCTCTTCTTCTTCAGCCTCTACCTCCTCTAATTACTGGAATTACAGCCTATTCCAGCATACAGAGTGTGGAACTGAACCCAGAGCTCTATGCATGGAAGTGTGCTACCTTAGTGTTTTTAACAGCACTGTGTCTTAAACGCCCCTGGCTGCTAGCCGTTCTCCTTCCTCCCTGGCCACAGAAGGCCAGCAGCCCCAGGAAAAGGTCTAGACTGGAGGACACTTGAAAAAAGCATCTGGGAGCCGAGCAGTGGTGGCGCGCATGCCACCCTTAATTCCAGCACTTGGGAGGCAGAGGCAGGTGAACCTCTGTGAGTTCAAGACCACCCTGGTCTACAGAGCGAGTTCCAGGACAGGACAGGCTCCAAAGCTACACAGAGAAACTCTGTCTCGAAAAAACAATATAAATTAATTAATTAATAGAAAAGAAAAAGAAAGGAAGCATCCTGGAGTTTAGTGTAAGGGGGCCTGCTTTGCTCTCACTGTCTTCATTCAACAAGCACAATTTACTGATATTGCAAGTGCCTGACAATTCCGTGCCAGCTCTTGGGGAGAGAGGGTGCATGTAGCTGGTGCACACCTTCAGTCCCAGCACTCAGCAGGCAAGGACTCGAGACCAACCCGGTCTACCTAATGAGCTCTGGGGCTGCATAGTGAGATCCTGTCTCAAAACAAGACAGAATTTGTCATGTTAAAGGCCAACCTGGTCTACAGAGTGAGTTCCAGGGCAGCCAGGGCTACACAGAGAGACCCTGTCTTGAAAAATAAAAAAATAAAGAAGGCCCTCTCTTTCGACCATGTGGGATCTGGGGTTCAAATGCAGTTCATTAGGCTGGGAGGCAAATGCCTTCACCTGCCGAGCTATCTCTACCCCGACAACCTGAATTTTTAAGTGTCCTGACACTTAAAACAGATAAAACAACAGATACTTTATTAAAAAAAAATGAACTCATAAAAATGAAGGAAGGGAGCCGGGTGGTGGTGGCGCACGCCTTTAATCCCAGCACTCGGGAGGCAGAGGCAGCAGGCGGATCTCTGTGGGTTCGAGACCAACCTGGTCTACAAAGCTAGTTCCAGGACAGGCTCCAAGGCCACAGAGAAACCCTGTCTCAAAAAATCAAAAAAAAAAAAATCAAAAATGAAGGAAGGGGAAAGGAGGGATATTAGTACTCCTCTTAAGTAGCATGATGTGCCTATCCAACTGCCTTTTATTTATGTACATAGATTATTGCTGCTGTCAGCCTTGGTGAGGGGAGCTTCCCTTTCACTACTGAGGAAGCCAGTAACTGATCAAAATGCTGAGAATTCAGTGACTGTTGCTGTATTGTAGTGACCCAATGCTCAACCTTAAATGGAAGAACATCAGACATTTTATCACCTTCTCCAACGCTCAGGGAACAATGCAGAAGAGGGAGCCGAAGGAAAGAGAGCTGGAAGAAGGGTAAAGGGTTATGGGATTTGGTATGACATGGCTGTTGCCATCTTGAAAGCAGAATGGCTGATTGCTTGTGTGGCACCTTTACAAGAGGTGGAGCCCACTAATATCCCTCATGGAAGGGGAAGGCATGTGAGGCAGTGGGACTGCAGGGGACCAGGAGACTCCCGTGGCACAGCTTCCTGTAAGTTATTCATGTTCCTGTAAGCCCAGTTAAACTCACCGCTTCACCAAGCTGGACTCGAGTGGAACGGTTTTGCTGCTCCATCTGAGACCTGTCTGAAAAGACTTCCCGGAAAATGTCATGCAATTGTTATTGGCTTTTTCTGGAAAGTAAGCATAATGTAAAGATGTTGGTCAAGTTAGTAAGTAGTGGACCTGTGATGATTGGAATTGGTTGTCACCTTGACTGAATAAGGGGACATCCAGACTGGTGAGATGTGTGTGCCTGTTTGTCACTGGGGATGTTTTCGGAGAGGAGTGACATGGAAGGAGGGCAGCACCTTCCAAACTGCAACCTAGACGGAAAACATTGTGAGAAAAACAGTACCAGAAAAAAACTGTTCCGAGTGCTTCAGTTGTCACTGCTGCTGCCACCTGCTTCCGTGGTCGCTGCTGATATCATCCTCCGGCTTTGTTGGCCCTTCAACACGGATCTGATACCAGCCACTGTACAGGGAGCCTCCGGGCTATCAGGACTGCTGCGCTTCCTTCCTTGGAGCAGCCACCAGATTCTCAGCTTCTCCAGCATGCGCATGACCACTTCGGGCCATCCAGCTCCACTGTGTAGCCAGGCTAACCAATCCCCTCTTATAACACATGTGTACATTCAGTTGCTTCTGTTCCTCTAGAGAACCTAATACAAATGCTCACCGTAACACTACCACTGAGGCCTGCCATGCACACCCCTGTCCACCACAGGCACTTCTAGCACCAGCTCCCGTCCTAGTGTGGCTTCTTCTCTTTGCCTGGGATCTGCTCACTAAACACATACACTAAAATCACAAGATATCAATACATAGATATTCAGCCAGGCAGTGGTGATGCAAGCCTTTAATCCTGGCCCTTGGGAGGCAGAGGCAGGTGGATCTCTGTGAGTCTGGGGCCAGCCTGGTCTACAGAGTAAATTCTAGGACAGCCTCCAAAGCTACAGAGAAACCCTGTCTCAAAAAACAAACAAACAAACAAAAAAAAAAACAAAAACAAAAAGGACTTGTTGGACTGCAGCGAGTCAATAATCCTAGCACTAGAGCGGCTGAGGCAGAAATTTAAGGTTGAGAAGAGCTTGCGCTACAGAGAAACCTTGTCTCAAAAATATGGTGGGGCCTGGGAGATGGCTTGGCAGGTAAATCTCTTTGACTGTGAAACACGAGGACTCTGGGCCCCATCAGGAGAAGCCATATAAAAGCCAGATGTGACACACCTCTGAAACCCTAGCACCCTTATGGTAAGAAAGACTGGGGGAGGGGTGGTAGGTGGAGACAGAATGGCCTGTAAGCTCTCTGACCAGCCTGCATGTTTGGAGGCAAAGAAGAGACACCCTGGTGGGAGGGTAAGAACAGACTTGGAACGCTGTCCTGTGACCTCCATATGCATGGCATAGCGCATTGATATGTGGGCACGCAGTTTCAAGAGAGGCATGCGTGCTGTGGACGTAGATGGCAGAGAGCTTGTCTAGAGTGCACGGATCCCTGGGCTTGATCCCCAGCATGCACAAACCGAGCCTGGCAAGGCACACCTTTAATCCTAGCACTCAGAAGGCAGAGGCAGGAGGATCTCTGTGGGTTCAGCGTAGCTGTCTTCATAGTGAACTCCAGGCTAATAAGGCTACATAATGAGAAAGAAAAAAACAAAACAAAAGGTGTAGAGAGATGGCTCAGTGTTGACGGCCTTTGCTGCACAATTATGACAGCTGGTTTTTGTATCACAGAATCTACATAGCAACCCTCACACACACACACACACACACACACACATACATACATGTACTTATTGTGGTATTTTGAAATCTGACCCTTTTTTGCCATTCCCATTGTAAGCACCCTAGTTGAGGGCACTTTCATGCCCTCCTAGAATGCTGCTGACATTGCCTGGCTGGTCTCTCTGCTTCCATCCTCAGCCACATCCGACTCCACAGGGCTCATCCAAGGCCCCTGCTGAGATTCAGTCAGCTCTGACCAGCCCTTTCTTGCCTCAGGAAAACAAAGCACCCCATTCTGCCCCAGATCCTGCCTGCTTTCTTTCCTCTCTCCCTTATACGCTACCCAGATCTCCCAGGACTCCATTCCCCAGACTGTACTCAGTGTTACCTCAGTTAAGTCTCCTCCAACCACACCATCCTTGTACCCTTGCACACCTTCCTCACATACCTACTGACCTCTTGTCTTTTCCTAAGTGATCTTGGCTCTTATCCAGACAAGCTCTGTAAAAGTAGGGGTTCTGGGAATCAAACCCAGAGTCTCCTGCATGCTGGGCAAGTCAATGGCAGTGGTCCCCCCCCCCCCCCCCAAGATTTCTCTGTGTAGCCCTGGTTACAAGCCGTCTCGGAACTTGCTCTGTAGACCAAGCTGGCCTAGAACTCGCAGAGATCCACTTGCCTGAGTACCGGGATTAAAGGCGTGCACCATCACTGCCCAGCTTTCTTTGTCTTTTAAGACAGAGTCTCTATGCAGCATGGCTGGCCTGAAACTTTGCTGTCTGGGAGAGGGGTTAGTGTCTCCAGTACCCTGTCACTGGGCAGATGAAGCAGGGATGAGTCTGGTCTTACCTGAGAATAACTTGAGTCGGGTCTAGAAAACCGTGCCTTGTGAGCTACCACCCGACAGGTCAGCAGCAGCAGCAGCTTGCTAATGACAGGAGCCCCTTCCCCAACTCACACATGCACACTTGGTCAACGCTTTGCTTCACATACATGTGTACTAGATCGTGGTGTTTCTAGAGGGAGAGGAGAGTAAAGGGCACACTGAAAAGCTGATAGGCTTGGGGAAAATAAGTTTTGGGCTCAAAAGTCGGCTTCACCCTCCCTTCCCTCCCCTCCCCAATCAGTCCAAGACACTAGGACATCATCAGCTAGTCTTATTTCTCTGACCTTCAGTTTCCACAAAGGGGCTGAACAAGCCGGATTCTCAGCACTCACATTATGTCCTAGAACTGTGGCCACCCACAGGCTTCCAGGAGCTCTTGAGCTCCCCCAGAGTCCTGGACGGCAAATGTGCAAACACTAGAGCAGCCCTCGCAGAGCCCAAACACAGCAGCTCCTGAGATGACTATTCTGGAACACATGCATATCCTGTGATACACACCAGGTAAACTGCCAGCTCAAGAACGGCAGCGCTTGTACACAAGGGGGGAGAAGGGGCTGGATCTGAAGAACCAGGCAAGAACTGGAGGGGTTCTGGATGCCTGGGGTGTGGCACACGCTCAACTCCAAGTGCAAAGGTCATAAGAGGTAAGGGTAGGACAGGGGTGGGGGCACTAATCTGTCACTGTGGTGAGGAGGTCAGGGTCTCGGAGATTCAGACAGAAAGTGACGGATTGGTTAGAGTATGGTGTCATGGACTTGATGACCCCTCGAGTTTGTGGTCTGAGAATCTGGAAAGATGTAGTTACCATCAGCTGAGCTCAAGAGTTTTTGAGACAAGACAAGTGGGTGGGTAGGGGTGGGACCTCAGTCAAGAGGACATATGAAGAAGGGCAAGGAGAAGCCACCAATGGCCTTTTCCACTCCCAAGGGCCCTTCTAACAAGAAAGGTCACAGCCAAGTTCTCAGAAGGCGGAGTGGGGTGGCCCGCTGAGTCATTGATGTTTTACATGAAGCCTGAGTGTGTGGTGTTACAGAGAACTGAGTACAGGAATCGCTCTGGATTTGCTGGCCCTCAGAGGCTGGCGTGTTCCTTCCTCTCAGACCAGCCCACAGACTTTGCGGGGCCACTGCCAGGCAGAGAGTTCACACAGGGTCATAACTGGGGCTTTATTTTAGTTTCCAATACATCAGCAGAGATACAGGTAACTCAGACAGGTGCATCACCTCGAATATGCCAGAAGCAAACTCACTGTGTCAGGAGCCTGTCGCGCCCCAGCAAAGATCACACAACAGCAGCAAGAAATTAAAGTGCTCCGCTAAATGTCTCAGGTGCAGTCTCTCCCTGGTGGTATAAGTGGAATTTTTACTTATGTAAGTTCAAAATTTCATTCAGTACTCAGGGGCTATACTGAAAAAGAGTTTATTCTATTCCCCCCCCCCAAAAAGAATACAACATTTGTTGGGATCATGTGACACTGATTTGTCCTGACCCACTGTGAGGTGACCCCATCTGTCCAGCCTAGTAATACACTCACGACTTCTTCCCATTACATGCTGAGCCGGGTCAAGACCATCACTATCCCAGTAAACAGGGTAGGCTGAGGGGCAAGAGAGCACATGGCCATGGGCAGCCAACCAGCAGGACCTTGTCCCCAGGGGAGCTCCTGGCTGTGGACTTCTGGGAGGAGATGCAGCCCAATGGTTTATCTCTAAGACACTCTCTACCTGGTCTACAAGGCTTCATTAACCCGAAACTGTTTTTTTCAGACAATCCACCTGGGTGACTGGAATCTTCCCCACGTTGACCAGTAACAGTTTCAAACCTCAACAAGGGGAAGCTCAGAGTCAACAGGAGGCTAAGCAAGCAGCAGGAGGTTCAGGAGTAGAACGGGAGGAGGCTTGAGGGTCAGGGCAGTAGGAAAATGGCAGCCTGGCTTCTCATGCTGTTTTGTGGCCAGCTGCAGGCATCGACACAGGGTACAGTCTAGAGAATGGTGGCCACGGGGAGCTTGCAGCAAGGCAGAGATGAGCTGGAGTTAGGGAGGTGGGCTCACAGGCTGTGCGCCCCTCAGTGCTAGGGCAGGTCGCGAGAGGGATCTCTTCTGTACCCACCTTCTCCAGCCACCCCAGGCAGCCCCACCTTCCACCATTCCTCCTGCTACATCCTTTAACCACCTGGACCACACTAGCTCTCACTAATAAACCAGGACCATCAGGCCAAGAGCTGAAATCAGAGCAAGGGCCTCAATGGCAAGAAGAGAGGCAAGCCCCATCTCATCCTGTCAGACGTCAGCACCACCACATCTGATACCCTAATCCACACGCCTTCTCCCGAGCTCTCCCTCTGCTCTGCCTGGCAGAGGTCCCCAGCCTCCCATACGAGCTGCCTGAGTCTAAAGCCCAGGGTGTGCTGAGCCTGGCCACCAAGCACAACTCAGAGACTGCAAGTGGGGAAAAGCGCTAAAGCTGAGGCCAAACACAAGATACAAGTCCTTCTGGGACAAACGTGGTCCTTCCAGAACTATCCTGAATTCTTCTGGGGAGTCCAGTCACCCCCACATTGTCTTTCTCTAGGTGTGCCTGCTTGGGCTGAAAAAGGTGGGCGTGTCTGCCTGATGCCTGTGAGCGTTCCCCTCAGTATTCTGCAGGGTGCTACCCTGAGGAAGACCTTCTCAAATGCACCGAACTTCAACCAGGTGAACATGCTGAGCAGACACGGACACGCGTGACTCCTCATGCCGAGCTGACCCGTCCTTGTCGGTCTCCAATTGGGGTGTGCACCGGGGTCTCCTGCAGGGGTCGGGTAACTGGTGTGGAGGCTCAAACAGTACAGGACAATGGATGCTTTCCTTCTCTCCGCAGTGGCCAAGGACTGGAGCCCATGGGAGGTGCGGCCCTGCCTCTCTCTGCGCAGGCCGCCCCCGCTGCCCACTACCTGCTCGGCTGCAGGTACTGGTGTGTGAACATGTTGAGTTCACTGTCCAACCAGCCAGCTTTATTCCTGCGAAGACAAGACTGCTTTGTACAGGCGGCAGACTGAACAGGTCACACTAGCCTGTCTGAACTGTCACTTAATCCTTCAATAGCACAATTTCCCATTTTGTAGATGAGGAAAAGGACAGAGTCCTACTTTTAAGAAAGAGGTGAACTGAGAAAGAATCTCACTAAGCCGCCCAGGCTGGCCTGAACTCATTCTCAGCTGTGAACTCCTCCTGCCTCAGCCTCCCATGTGCTCTGATTATACGAGTCAATCACCACGGCTGGTTTGGGTTTTGCTGCAACCCAGAGTCCCCAAACCTTTGGAGGTCAGCTTTCTTGATTGACAGTTGAAGGTTTGGGTGCTAGCTCAGCCTATCTTTGTGGCTACCAGCAACAGCAGCAGCAGACATTGTCCCGAGAGCCAGAGCCAGTCAGTGAGCGGTGTGTCCCTGGTGGTGGGCAGGAGGGGCACCTCTGCATAGGCCAGACACTGACCTGTTGGGGCTAGTGCTGAAACTTGTGAGTACCTCTCTGTCCTCTTTGGGCCTGACATCAGAGGCGGGGGCAGGATATGCAAGTCCCCATGTGCTAATGTTATCACAGCCTGAGTGGGCTGAGGACTACAGTACTTCTACCTTTAGCTGTGGCTGCCATGAAATTATATTCTCATCTCACAGATGAAAGCCACAAGACACAGGAAAGCTGAGGAGGGAGTGCAGGGCCAGCACCCAGAATCTGGCTCCTCCAACTGATCCTCCTCCCAGCAAATGTCATAGTTCTACAGAGGCCACCAGTCCTGTTCCTGTGCAGAGACCTGGTGCTAGGCCCTCCTGCTCCTGGGCTCAGAGAGGAACTAAATATGACAGACATGGTGGCAGCTCTCACAGAGAAAGAAGAGTCAAAGTGCAGCCCACCTGCACCCCAACTGTGGAGCTCCAGACAAGGGCCTCAGCTTCCATGGGCACTATTAGAAAGTGGAGCTGAGATGGACATGATGGCACACATCTTTAATCCCAGCACTAGGGAGGCAGAGGTAGGTGGATCTCAGTGAATTTGAGACCAGCCTCATTCACT